CCAAGGGCAGGCACCCCTGGCTGGCTGCCTCACTGGCTGGACCGACGGTCTTACCCGATCAGCTCACCGTTGACGCGCGTCTACCTCGTGCTGCTCGGTTTCGGAGTATGAAGGTTCGGCTCTTCTCGTTGCTCTCCCGCGCATTCAGGTGTGCGGCACTCCCTGGGGCCCTGTGACTGTGATGGTTTTGCCGTCTTGGGTATACGACGGTTGCGTCCATCGAGCGCACACGCATGGTTGTGTTAACCGCCTGGCGCTGCGTCGCATAGTTGTTCGGTACACGTCACTCTGAGCCCTGCGTTCTCGCTGTGCTTATGTGTACCCGTTGCGTCCTGACCAGTCTGCTGGTTTCTGTGCGCAGGCACATCGCTCCGCCGTTGTTGGGTCCTCTCTGGCTACTCTGGCCTAGACCCCTTGCGTGGATGCGTTTTCTGATGTTGCGACGGTTCGCTGGCGCCGTCAGAGCCTCTCCTGCTGGACGACGTCACCAGTACTACCTGAACATACCCGTCAGGTTCCCTGGGTGACCTTCCTGCACGGTGATAGGTCTACCACGCGGTCTTCCTTACTCGGACGCGTCGGGACGACCCCGCGCCATTTTGGCTGCGCTTGGCTCGCCTCAGGGTTGACCTCACAGACTCCCTGGGATGCAGCTTGCATGTTTGTCTCAGGCGCCTGACCCTTCAGACTCCCTGGGGTTGCACGACGCTGGCCCCTCAGACGCCCTGGGTTGCCGCTCCCGCCGCCTGAGCCGCGGCTTCGCGCGCGCTCGGGAATTTAGCCACGGCCGCGGCCCGACCGTGACTGCTCGCCGCTGTGCGCTTCCTCCTGCGGCCGTTAAAAAAAGTATCCCCACCAACCCGTCCAGAAACGACGCCCAGGCGGGTGGAGGGTCGTCCTGAGGGGCTTTTCGGCGTCTTGGGTGCCTCGGGGGGGCCTCTGTGGGCCGTTCGGAATCCTCTTTGGGGTCCCCTGGGGGCCTCTTGGGGCCTCTTGGGGCCATCTTGGGGCCTCTGGGAGCACCTTGGGTGCCTCTGGGGGGTCTCTTGGGGCCTCTTGGGGGTCTCTTGGGGGCCTCCTGGGGGCCTCTTGGGGGGCCTCTTGGGGCCATCTTGGGGCCATCCTGCGGCCTCTTGGGGCATCCTGGGGGCCTCTTGCGGCCATCGTGGAGGAAATCGATCAAAAAAGAGGGGTTCCTAAATTTCAGCCCCCTCTTCAGGAGCCACGATCCTCGTGAGGGGTGTCGAATTTTTGCCCTCCCAGGGGTCATTCTTGGACGCTCTAACTACCCGCGGCCCCCCCTGTCCAGGTCAGTGGGGAGGGGGTAGGGGGAGGGGTAAACCCCTCCCCGAAGGGGAAGAAGGAGGGGTGGAAGAGGAAACTCGTTAAACCACCGACGCCCAGAGGGCTGGTGGGATTTACGGGTTGCTGGCGCCCTGTGCCCAACGTGCATACGGTGCTCGACGTTCTTGTGAATGCGTCCACCCAGGTGGTCAGGTGCGCGAAGGTTGCCATGGCCAGGTGGTGCAGTCCCGAAGCCGTCGTGGAACTTACTCAGAAGGAGAAGTGGCGCTGCGCGGGTAGCAGTTTCACGCGCCGCGTCTCCAGTGGGGCGGAGACGCGCGCTGGGGGCATCTCGATGATGAGGGGATTCGGGTCGAGAAGTCATTCGAAGAAGAGCGCGCGATTGAGGTGTGGGGTTGCCGCGAAGGGGCTCCGCCTAGATTGTGTGGCGCGACCCAGGGACCGTGGTGGACTGTCTCATCCATCAACGACGCAAGTCTCTGTCCGGGAGGCGTCGGGGTGAACGGGTCGCCGTCTTTTCTGAGGTCGGCCATGCTCCTAAAGGCGAAACTACCAACCCTTGTTGTTCCATGCCTTGGGCCAGAGTCTGATCTCGGGCGTTCGCAGCCGAAGACGTGCGACTGATCGAACTAAGCGACAATCGTACGCAGATGAAATGGCTGCTCGAGGATCCCGATTCAACCGGGGAGGGCTTTGGTCAACTGGGTTCAGCCCCCGATTGATGAGATGAGATGTTGAGTTTGGGTGGGGAACCTGGGAAGAAGTCACCCAACGTGGTGCTGCGGCGCCTTTCGAGCCTCCTCAAGGGCACCATGACCCCCCGGATTAAGCTGAATAATGTCAAGAGGCCCGGTCTTAGCGGGATCGTGGGCCCGCATTGCAGGGAAGAAGCTTCCCGTGGCAGGCATTCGACGTATCGGGGGGCAGTGAAGGAACCGGGGGGCCCCCTGCATGTGCTGATGATCTGGGGTGGAAGATTCGCTGGCTCGGGAAGTGAGCAGACGTGGGGGCCGGCCCCGCTGCTGGAGGGCGGGCTGCGGTCTTTCCGATGCCCGTGGCAGATGACCGCGAGGTGTGGGGGCGACGGAGCTGAGTCGGCCATGGACTGCTGCGATCTTAGATGCAAAGGCGCGGCGAAGAACTTTTCGGGGGTGGGCCGGCCCGAAGCCGGCTCCCAGGTTCGATGGGCCTCGTAGTTCGAAGAATCGTGGGGTGGCCCGCAGCGGCGCTGCCGCCCCAAGTTCGAGTCCAGAGATCCCTCTCTCAGGGCTGATTAGGGCCTGGGCGGCGGAGGAGAATGTGGACCGGACGTTTTGCTTGATCTTCCCGCCGAGGAGATTCATTTTGATCCGTCGTTTTATGAGGATGGTGGCTTCGTGGCGTTCTGATGGTTCGCGGTATGGGTGGAACGCAATCGTCATGTCCAGATTTAGAATGGCGCGCGGCCGGCCTCCCAGGATTTGCCCACTGCGCCTTGAGCGTTCGGAGATCGATGGAAAGACGAGTCTGGAGAGTGGAAGGGCGAGTCTGGCGAGTGCGGCCAGTCTGGACATGCGACTCGGAGAACAGATGGGGCAAGAAAGACAAGAACGACGGCTGGAGCAACAGGTAGTCGAGGTCGTCGCGAGCCGCGGACTCACCTGTGCGACTGAGCGGTCAGCGCTGGGGCGGCCCGCGGGCCCGTCTAAATTCAGGGTCCGTCGAGCGACAGGGCCATCGCCCTCGCGGCGGGAGTAGGCGCTGCGCGGGAAGCGATCGCAGTGACATGTTTTTGGGGTTGGCGCTCCCGGGCGCGGCGCGCTGAAGGCCGGCGCGCTGGGGCGCGGCCGCCCTGGCGCCCGATGCGGGGGGTGTCGAGATCATTCATTTTTGCGCGCGACATTGCATCGTCCATCCCCGCCCGCCGGCGCGGGCGTTTAGCTCGAGCCATTGATGCCTCCTCTAAGAAAGAAGCGCCAGCATTGGCCGTGGGGCGCCGACCGCGGTTAATGAGCGATAAAACGAGCGGCGCGCGCACCGCCATGTCGTCGGTCAACGCGAAGGGGCGCGTCCTGCTGAAGGTCCTCGCATGTGGTTCCCATGAGCTTCGAGACGTTCATCCCGTGCGTCAGGCTGTTGCTGCATATGTGGTAGATTATTCATCTGGCAAAGAACAAAAACGCAATGTATATATGCACACACGCACACCTATACGACCACCCGGCGGCTGATAAGGAGGTTGTGGGGGGAGGGGGGAGGAGAAGGAACCAACATCTGACTCAATCGATCTGACTATCGATTTCATTCAACGGGACACCACAGGACACCACGGGACACGACGGGACATGTGTCGATCTCACGGTCGATCTCACTATCGATATCACCCAACGCGACGCCGCAGGACACCGCGGGCCACCGCCGGACACCGCGGGGCACCTCTCGATCGCACTATCGATCTCCTTGTCGATCTCAGTCAACGGGACACCACGGGACACCACGGGACACTTCGGGACACCGCATCGATTTCACGATCGATCTCACTATCGATCTCATTATCGATCTCACTCAACGGGACACCACGGGACACCACGGGACACCTGTCGATCTCACTATCGATCTCACTATCGATATCTTGGGCACCACGGGACACCTTTGGGCACCACAGCGATTTCAGTATCGATTGCAGTATCGACCTCATTATCGATATCACTCAACGGGTTACCACGGGACATCACGGGAAACCACGGGACACCTGTCGATTTCATTATCGATCTCACCATCGAGGTCCTTTTCAGGGACGCCACGGGACGCCGCGGGAAATTCCGGGGCACCACATCGGTTTCACTATCGATCCCAGTATCAATCTCACTATCGATATTATGATCGAATTTATATTCGGTATCACTATCGATCTCATTCAACGGAGCACCACGGGAGACCACGGGACACCACGGGACACCGCGGGACACCTCAAGCCACCGCCGGACGGACGGACGGGTGGGCGGGGGATAATCATTTGTCTTGATTCCGCCCCAGCAGCGGCGGCGGACACCATGGGACACCACGGGACACCACGGGACACCGCTGGACACCGCGGGCCACCGCCGGACGGACGGACGGACGGGGGAGAATAATTTGTTTTGTTTTCGCTCTAGCAACGGCGGATTCCACGGGACGCCACAGGACACCACGGGACACCGCGGGACACCGCCGCCGGACGGACGGACGGGGGATAATCATTTGTGTTGACTTCGCCCAAGCAACTGCGGGTTCATTCCTCTCGCGCGCCCACGCAGCTTCGCTTCGCCCGCCCGCACGACACGAACGAAACGAAACGATTTCCCGGTTGAGGGTTTCCCGGTCCACTGTGATCTCACCCCCCGACTTCCGATACATATATATATATATATATATACATATGTATATATATGTACATATATACATATTTATATATGTATGTGTGTATATATACATACGTTCCAAGGTCCGCGCAGATTTCTGGTGCTCGACCCTCGTTCCCACGCCCGTTTTTCGGCCACAAAAGGCGCACAAAGCGCGCCAAGGGCGGCGCCAGAAGCGTCGCCAGAGGGGGAGGGGAGTCCAGCGCCGACCCAAGAAACCCGCGCCGACACTTGCAATTTTATGTTTTGCATTGTCTTGTTTTCCAGGGATAGGCACATGGTAAGGGGGGGTGAGCGTGGAGTGCGCGCCGAGAGGCCAAGAAGCAGCTGGTCCGCTCCTACAAGGCACTGAGGAAGGACCGCCACTCCTACATGCGCGGGCACGCGGGCGAGCATCGGGGGTATAATCAGAGACTGCCCGCTGCTTCTTCCCGTTCTCCTTATCCCCCTTCCCCCCTTCGTCAGCGCTTGTCTTGCACCTTCCCTACTGGGCCTTCCCTTCCTCCCGTTCGTGCTTCTGGGATGCGAGTGCTCCTGCCTCTGATCTCCTGCTCTCCCTCCCCCTCCCGCCCGGTCCCCCGTCCCCCCCTGCCTCTGCTGGCCCGCCCTCTGTGGGGGAGGGGGGATGGAGAGGCGGATCTGTCCGCCCTCCTGTTCCTGCGTGCGCCCCTGCTATCGCACCGCGCGTTCTCCGTTACGATTTCGCGCCCAGTGACGCGCAACGTCCCGAATCTGGCTGGAAAAGCAGCAGCGGGGGAAAGATGTCCCCCATCCGTGATTGTATATACCTATCTCGCACCACTGAGGAGGAGGAGGAAGAGGAGGAGGGGGAGGAGGAGGAGGAGGGGGAGGGGGAGGGGGAGGGGGAGGAGGAGGAGGAGGAGGAGGAGGAGGAGGAGGAGGAGGAGGAGGAGGAGGAGGAGGACGCTGAGGAGGAGGCGATGGAGGAGGAGGGGGAGGAGGAGAAGGAGGAGGAGAGGAGGAGGAAAAGAGGAAGAAAATTAGTAATTAGGAGGATGAGGAGGACGAGGACGAGAAGGAGGAAGGAGGAGGAGGAGGAGGAGGAGGAGGACCGGCCCACCGAGGGGGCGCGGTCGTGGCCAAAGACACGCCGCGGCCCTAGGAGGAGGAGGAGGAGGAGGAGGAGGAGGAGGAGGAGGAGGAGGAGGAGGAGGAGGAGGGAGGAGGAGGAAAAGGAAGAGGGTGAAGAGGAGGAGGAGGAGGAGGAGGGGGAGGAGGAGGGTATCTTGTACTGCTGCCGGCTCACCAGCCTTCCGCCGGCTTCCGTTCGCGGAACCGCCCTCCTGCCTTATTGAGTCTGGTAATCCTGACGATGGCTGTGCTTCTGTCGACCCGTTCTTTTCGACCATGTGGCTCCAGCCGGTGATGGTAGGCTCTCTATATTATGCTTCTGATATCGAACGTATTTCTCTGGTTTCTCTCCGTGCCTCGCTGCAGATCTCGTAGGCCATTTTGCTTTGCCAATTCGGGGCTTCTTCCACTGATATAGCTGCCATCTGATTGATGCAGTGTAGGCACCAGTCCATGCACCACTCCATCCAGTCGTGGCATGCCACCTCGTCATTTCTGCCAAAGCACCAACATCCTGCCAATTGCTGGCTGCGCTCCTTCGTCTTGGCAATGCTGCTTGTGGTTGACAGCTCGTTGTAGTCCATGTTCGGCTTTGTCGGTCCAGCTTCAGGTACTCTGCCCATGACTTGTTCCTTCGCCGCCGCTTTTGCTTGTCGAGCGTGCTGCCGATGACTGGGTTGCTTCTTGTTCTGCATTTCGCGCTGCGCCCATGTGTTCTCTGGTTCGGACTCTGTTTGCTAGATTGTCTCCAGCGTCCCGTTGGTCATGATGTTTGTTTCTTCCATGGTGGTTTCTATCATCACAATCTGGTCGTTTACCATGGATATCGCCGTCAGATCCGTGGAGGTATCGGCCAGCAGCAGTTTGATCGCCGTCGCCAATTGCGAATCCAGCTCGTCGCAGAAATATGCCTGGTCGTCCGGGTCATTGTACGTGTCCACCGCCGCTGCCTCTACCGTCTCCTTGCTGGGTCTTCTGGCATTTAGGGTCACCACGCCAGTAGTTTTTCTTCTGGCACGCGTTTCACTTTGTGCGCGCCTTGATCTTATTGAGCTTCTCTTCAGCGTCCTTGTTGTTCATCTTGATGGAGCCCCTGTCGGTAAAGTTTGCCCGCCAGCCTCTGTTACTCTTATTCTGCGCCAACTTCTCGCGAGTTTGCTTGTCTTTTGGCTGTCGGTGATTCCTCCCAGCTTTCCAGCTTAAGTTGCTTCTGAGCCTCGGTCGCGAGTATGTCAGACTCCTTTTGGCTCATGCCATCCATGCCGAGATTGCTGATTGCTTCATCGAACTCCTCGATGCCGGCTGCTAGAGCCTCGTAGTCGCCGTCTTCACAGGAAGACATTGTCGCTGACTGTCCTGTCCTCCAGAAGATTCGATTCCGTCTCGAACTCATAGCCGTCTTGGTCAGTAGTGTAGCTGTCTACCAGGCAGGCGTAACGTGTTCGATTCCGATCTTGATCTCGATCTTCTATTGATTTGTTGTCCAGCTGTATCTGCATTGCTGCCGTCGCCTCGTCCCACGTGTACTCGTTGGCGCACTGCTTGAGGATAGTTTTGTTGCTTCGTCATGCTGGTGCTCGTCCGCTTCAGCAGGAAGTAGGTCCGCAGGTCTTCGCTGACTTCCGTTCCTGTTGTAAGTTGTTTTCGTCGATGATACTCTGTCTCACGTCTAATCATGTGGTCATGCAATTCTGCACCGCTTCCGATCTCTGTCGAGACCCTTTGACGAACAACTCCACGAAGGCCCGCTGCTTTTTGTAGTGGTGAGGTCCTCTCTCACGCTGCACGGACTGTCGTCACCACCAGTTGGGTACCAAGAGGTGGGTCTTCACCTGCTTTTGTGGTCAGCTTCTGCGTGGTGATCTCTGGCTTCTTCCTCAGGAGGTTCAACGCTTGGTTGCTCAAGCATTTTTTTTAATACCTTGATCGCATACAGCTTCTGTAGCTTGTCCCTGGACTCGTGATAGCCCAGCAGGGCATGTTCTTGATATTCTTCGCCGTAGGCCGAGTGACCTGTTCGACGTATAGGGGCTCTTCTCGGCTTTGGTCTGTTGACAGCGACATATTTAGTACTGCAGTCCAAGCCGCACACGTCGCTGCTCCGTGTCGCAGATGTTGACCTCGTTGGTATGGAGTCGCGCGAGAAATCAAAGCGAGCATGATGGCGTTGAGCACCAGCAGGTGGTGCCACTCGACAATATGTAAGCTCGCAACCGCGGAGCTTGTTCAGCCCCGTGCTACCAGTGTAGAGAATCTCGTAGAATCGCTGATTCTGTTGATCTTGTGATTTATTTTCTGTTCAAGAGTAAGGTGTAGCGCGTCCGCCCTCGTCTCTCACTTTTGGAGCAACACAGCTATAGGAGCGGGGCAGCTACAGTGCATGCGAGCGAGCGACAGAGACAGAAAGAGAGAGAGAGAGAGAGAGAGACAGAACAATCAACATCATTATCAGCATAGCCATGATCAGTTCACTGCCTAACAGACTACATCACACATCGCTCTACTGTTCGTACAAGCGTTTGTGAATGCGCCAAGTGCCTATCTACGTAGTTTGGAGGGAGGAAAGGATCAGTACGTGTCAGGTATTCACGTGCAGCGATCGTGGCAAGGCCGATGTCCGAAGGTTTCCAGGCTGCGCCAGGACGGCCTCGTGCAGGCTTCAGCGGGCGCCCGAGGCGCCATACCAGTGCCTGGGAGGCAAGCATAGTTTATTTCGCTTGGGTTGTTCACGATTTTTTGTTGCCCCCCCCCAGGTAATCTCAGACGACCCAAGAGGCCCACGATACCGCCCCACGACGGGCCTAGAGGCCCCGAGGAGGGCCCCAGGACGGCCTCACAGGGCTCTATGACGGCCCCCAGGGGCGCCCAAGATGTCAGGAGGGCCTGAAGACGGCCCCAAGAGGGGCTGCTGAGCTTTTTATATTCCATCTAGAGCATGCTAGAACCTAAGGGAGGGGTTCGCAGGGGCCCCGGGGAGCACTGATTTTGTACGCGGCCGTTTTGGACCCGTTGGGGAGTGCCAAAATACGCCAAAGCAGGGGAAGAAGGGCGACAATGAGGGCCCAAGAGACGTCCAAGAGGGCACCAAGACGGCCCAAAAGCGCTCCCAGAGAGCCCAAGACCGCCCAAGAACGTTTCAAGATGGCCCATGATGGCTTCAAGACAGCCCAAGAGGGCCTCAAGACGGCCAAGAGGCTTTCAAGAGTCCCACGAGGCCCTCAGGAGGTGAACTATATAATTTTCCAAAGGTTTTTTTTAAAACAATTTTCTGTGTTCTGGCTTTTTCATGCTTCCAGCGGGCAAGGATAGCCCTCAAGGACCCAGAAATCGGCCCAAGACGGCCCAAGCGGCTCCGAAAGAGGGCCCCAGGACGGCCCAAGAGAGTCCCAAGACGGCTGTCGCTCCAAGACGGCTCGAACAATGCCCAAAAGGTTCCAATGGCTTCAAGAGAGGTCCAAGAGGGCCACAAGAGGGCCCTAACAAGGCCCCATGACAGCCAAAGCCTTCCAAGACGTCCCAAATGGGTCCCAGGACGGTCCGAGAGGGCGTGAAGCGGCCCCAGAATTTCCCCAAGAGGACACCCAAGAAGACCCAGAGACACTAAATGTATAGATTTTCGTCGGATTCTGGTGTTTCATCACGTAACGAGTTCCACTCACCAAGGATCCTAAGTGTGGACGGTGGTGTGAGCTCAAGACGACCCAAAGAGATTCCCGAGAAGCCGAAAAGACGGCTTCAAGGTGGCGCAACTGCTGCTCTAATTTCTTGCCTCCTCATCTCCCTCCCCATCCTCGTCCTACACCTCCTCGGATAAACAAAACATCGCTTCCAGACGCGTCCAGCCGCGGCGATGACGAGTCCCCGAAAACAATACAACTTCGGACCTCGATCCTCGCCAAGGGGCCCGGCACCTCGCTACCATCTCGCCTCCTTTTTTGATACCCCCTCCCGGGGCTTCAAACGCACCGACAAAAAACATGTTTGCTTCGGTGTAATGGATCGTAATTTCCCCGCGGCGGATCCGGGCCGTTTGCGAGTAGCTACTTTGCGAATAGTGGAACGCGCTTGTCTACAAGAGGCCTCCAAGACAGCCTGAGATACCCCCGAGACCGCCTAAGAGGAGCCAAAATGAGCCGAAGACGGCCCAGAAGGGCACCACAAGCACTCAGGATGGCCTCACTACGAGTCAAGAGGTCCCGAGACACCACAGGAGAGCCACCCGCGCGCCCCAAAGAGGCTTTGATGAGGCCAGACACATTGATGTGTGCTTGAAGGATTTTTGTATTTTCGCAGATCCTGGCTTCCGACCGCCCAAGACGGCTCCAAGACGGCACAAGATGGGCCCAAGACGGCTTCGGCACGGCCCTCAGAGGGCCCCAAGGCAGCCCAAGAAGGCCAAGCACATGTGACGACATCCAACGACCAGCAAACTACGGCCTCGACATTTCATCAGAAAGCCAGTCAACGCCTCAAGACTTTTCAGCGATCTCCCCGACGCACCCGCAAGCCAAGGCTTGCGTGTCGTGACAACGATCTGCAAGCCCTGGACGGCGCCATTGGGACCAAAGACACCTGCCCCCCCCAAGATAGCGCCTAAACAGCCCCACAGCCAGTCCAAGGAAGCCCTGCGACATCCCATAACCGGTTCAAGACGATCGCAACCCTTCTCCGACAACGAGTCGCCCGCAGACCCCGACCATCGCGTCATCACAGCGCCATGCGCTGGGCTAGAACCTGAGCGCGCGCGAAGCGCGCATCGTTCTAGTGTGTATATAACTATATATGTTTATAGTTATACATCGATACATACAAACAAATGTCAGTCCTCTATCCTAGGTGTTCTTGAGGGGTCCTGGAGTCCAAACTGCCAAATCTCCTAGGGCTTGCCGCGGCTTGTCGGGGGCTTTTCGCATCTCCCCGCGTGATTTTCTTCGGGCCCAGAGGGCCCCAAGAGGCCCCGAAGACGGCCCAAGATGGCCCCGAGTCGCCGAACGACGCTCCAAATTGCCCAAGATGGTCCCAAGACGGCAGAAGAGGCCTCCAAGACGCCCCAAGAGGCTTTCAGAGGCGTCCCAAAAGGGCCCCACGAGGCCCAAAGCATTGATGCTCCTCGGGTTTGTGCATGGTCTTGGCATTCTCTCCTTTTCGGCTTCCAGACGCTCCCAGACGGCCCAAGAGGCCCCCAATATCGCCCTGCAGGCGGCCCGGATTAGTAGGTCGACCCTGCCAGATCAAGGGTACCCTCGTGTCTTGTGTCTTGCGACCCATGTCTTCTACATTCCTATGGCAATGTGGACCGCGGAAGGGTATTGTGTCCTATCGCGTGTCTTGTCCAATCAAGTCCGACTGTAAGACGGCCCGAGATGCTTCCAAGAGGACCCCAAGACGGCCCAAGACGACCCCAAGACGGCAGAAGAGGCGCCCAAGGGGCGCCCCAGAGGCGCCCAAGAGGTCCCAAAGACGGCTCCACGAGGGGGCCCAGATGGGGGACCCGAACAGACCTTTCGAGCTCTCGGCCCCGAGGGCCCCCCGGGAGGCCCCAAGAGGCCCCCAAGAGGCCTTCAAGAGGCCCCCAGAGGCTCCCAAGAGGCCTTCAGGAGGCCCCAAGAGGCCCCCAAGAGGCTCCACGGAGGCCCCCAAACTGATCCTCAGAGGGATGGTGCGCCCAGGATGGACCTGGCCGGGATCCGCTGGATCGTAAGTATACAGTCTGCATTCGGCCTCCTCACGGATGAGGGAGAAGAGGGTGGATCGTAATTGACTGAAGCCGCTGGCCGTGATTTGCTGCCCTCTCGAGGTGTGACTGTGCGGCAGCTCGAGAGCCTCATTCGGCTCTCGGAGGCGATTGCGAGGGTGAACCTTTCGGACCAGGTCACCGCAGATCATGCCAAGGAGGCGCCCAGCATGGGCCTCGTTCTTGGAGGCAAACGTTGAACCAGGCCGCCCAAATGTTGACAGAGTAGATGGGGTCGGAAGGTCGCGCCGTATCGCCGATGCGTTGGCTATGTGGCGCGATCTGAAGCCAACTTCACTCCATCCCGATGTCGCCGACGCATCGGCGACGCATCGGCGATACGGTGCGACCATCTGGCCCAAAAGGCTCCGGCCCCATTCGGGCGGCCTCCAAAGTGTTGGACAGGGCCACCTCCTCACCCACACCTCGTGCTCCTGCTCCTGCCACTCTTTTCCTGCCCCCCCTCCTTCGGCTCCCGCTCGTCTCCCACCCCTTCTGCACCCACGCAATTTTCATACGTCGTGTCCCGCCCTCGCTCTTGGTCCTGGTTCTCTCATTCCTCGTTCTCGGCTCTGCTTCCCCCCTGAGCATTGCGTAACGAGGGGGGGCAAGAGAATTGGGAGGAGCAGGAGGAGGAGGAGGAGGAGGAGGAGGAGGAGGAGGAGGAGGAGGAGGAGGAGAAGAAGGAGGAGGAGGAGGACCAGAATCAACCAACGATACACCCGCGATGCTGCAATGCACCCTCCCAGCCCAACTCCCCTCATGCGCCCTTATTTTTCACTACAGGCAGGCGCCCCCTTGAACGACCAGCACAGTCGGGCCTGCCACTGCGGCGAGGATCCCTGCTCTGAAGAAGAACTGCCTCGCACATTCCCGGGGTGCATCCAGACAAGCGGCAACTTATGGTAATTCAGTTCAATGAGGTGTCCAGCGAGTTCCCCCTTTCGAAGAAGGACCGCCCCCCTATCCGTGTAACTGTTGCACATTTTTTTTTTTGGGGGGGGGGGCACGAGCTCTCAGGGAAGTCTCGAGTGGCAGCTCCATGCCGAGAACGAGGCGCCCTGGACCAGCGCAGCGCTGCACGCGACGAAGCAGTGGGTGCCAGCAACAGCTCGCGCGAGAGCCCCTTTTTTACGCAGAGCAGTCCCCCATCCGGCTGAACGCCTGAAGGGACGAGTGCGCGCGGCGGCGATGCGAGACGTCTGCTTTTGGAATGGACCAGTATACCAGTGTTCAGTCCCTGCGAGCTGTTGCCATATCTTGGGGCAACAGTTCGCGGCGCTGGAGCGAGCCCCCCAATTTGGGAAATGAATCGCCCGGCGTCCGTCGTGCTATGGCAAGCGTTTTGAATTCGTGTGTGCGCAATGTTTTTGGGCAGCAGTTCGCGGCGCTAGAGCGAGCCCCCCAATTTGGAACAGGACTCGCCCGGCGCCCGTGGTGCTATGGCAGGCGTTTGGAATTCGTGTGTGCGGCGCGAGGGCGAGAGCCGGATTCTGAGAGCTGCGCCCCGCCCGCCGTCCCCATCGCTGCTGCAGACTCAACTCTCAGGAGGGAAAGAAACACACAGACACAATTAATCGGCGATTCCCTAGGAAACTATAGGAAAATATGGGAAGTTGGGGGTAAGACAGAAACCCAGAACATATGGGAAAATATGGTGAATCCTGTTATTTGTGTGCATTTATTTGTGTGTCCCAGGGCCCCTTCACTATCGCTGCTGCAAGCTCAACTCCGAAGACGCCTGCGCGCGGTGCTTAACGTTAAAAGGCATATCTGCAACGCTGCCCTCTCTCCCCCGAGGAAGCTGCTGCAGATTCTGCCCAGAGACGACGGCGCGCGGCGCGACGGCCAGAGCCCCGCTCTGAGGAGGAGCCGCCCTCCATCCCTGAGGCTGCTGCAGACTTTTGAGACGAACGTGCACTGCGCGGAGGCGAGAACTGCTTTCTGGACATTGCCCCCCCCCCTCCGTAATGCGAGGCAGTTGCAAGCTTCAAGGCGAATGTGCGCGGCGCGAAGGCGAGCGCTCCATTTTGAAAGCCACCCGCCCTGCATCCGTGAAAAAGTTACACAAGTGTTTACGATTCGCGAATCCCCACCAGCCCATTGAGAAGCCCTGCCCATTAAGTGAAGCACATTTAGTGAAACAGAGCGTGCAAGGAGATGAAAAGGAAGGAGGGTGTTGAGCCATCTTGGAGGCTGTCTTGCAGCATCGGAGGCCTTTCTTGGAGCTACGGGGCTGTATTTGGGGAGATTGGGGTCTTCTTGGAGCTCTTTTTTTGGTGCATCTTGGGGCCCTCTTGGGGCTCTTTGGTGGGTCTTGGGGTCCTCTTTGGGCTCTTTTGGGGCGCCTTTGGGCCCTCATGGGGCTATTGTGGGGCCATCGATCCAAAAGAGGGGGTCCTAGATTTGCCTCCCCTCCAGGGCAATCAAAATAGCCTCTTGGGGCGCTCTTGGGGCCTTCGTTGGGCGATTTTGGGGGCTCTCGGGGCAGTCTTGGGGGCCTCTTGGGCCCTTCTTGGAGCTCTCGTGGGCCATCTTAGGGCCATCTTGAGGCCTCCCAAGTGCATCGTGAGCGAAAAGGCGAGAAGTAACAAATCATTGGTTTGTATGTTTTAGAGGATTTTGGCTTCTCGGGGAGGTCCTGAGGGGTCGCCAGAAGCACCTGGAACCGTCTTGTGGCCCTCTTGGGGCCTCTTGGAGACATGTCGTTAGCTATCTTGAGCCATATTGGGCTATTTTGAGCGATCTTGGAGGCCATCTTGGGCTCTCTGAGGCCCCCTTTGAGCCATCTTGGGCGAAAAAGGACCGTCCGACACCTCGCGAACCCCCCCGTCCAGGTCCAGGGGAGGGGGTAGGGGCAGGGATCAAGCTTCCCACCCGCCCGCAAGCCGTCTTGCTCACTCTCGATCGCCCTCCCAACACATACGTAACACCCTGGAGTCAGCATATCGCGTAAGAACGCCGCAGACGCCACGGGTTCCACATGCACCAGACCCTGGAGGCCCAAGCGTGCCAGGCGCGCCAGTGTTCCACGTGCTCCAGCCGCGCCAGGTGCGCCAGCCACTGGGAACCAATGGGGGCTCTTGGGCCCGGCTTTGAGCTTTCTTTGTCAATTTGGGAGCCATGTGGAGGTTTCGAGATCCCATCGGAAAGGGTAAGACGAAAAGTCAGCAGCCATTGATGTGTCAAACTAGTCGGTCGACCACCTGCGCCCAGAAGGCAGGTGGGACCTGCTGGCACCCCAGCCGCCCCTGTAAAATACCAATGCAAAATGGTCGTGGGGCGGCCGCAAATGCTCCAAATGTGGAGGCAGAGTGCGTTTTGTATTGTTTTTTGACAGGGATGGTGCGGGGGGTCCTCATGGGGTTGGCATGGTTCCGGGTTGGATATTAATAGGGAACAGTGATAAACCCCTCCCCGAAGGGGAAGAAGGGATTTGTTGGAAGAGGAAGTACATCGTTAGACCAACTGTCGCCCAGAGGGGCTGGTGGGATTGCAAGACGAATTGTGCGGCGCTCAGGCGAGAGCTCCATTTTGAAAGCTAACCGCCCTCCACAAGTGAAACTGCTGCACAGTCTTTTCAAGCGTCACATCATAAATGGTGAGGAAGTCTCAGGCGAGACGCCATGCACGCCCTACCGACACGTCTGGGGGGGCGACAGGGAGTAGTTGCTTACCAGGAAGACGGATTGAGGAGGCTGCTCCAGCGGATGCTCTGGGGGGAGCACTGCACGTGCAAGAGGGGTTTTCCACACACGTCTGGGCAGGAGGGGTGGGCGAGGGCGTGCTCTGGATCCCCCCCCCCGCGCAGGAGCGGGGGGCTTCGTAGCCCCCCTTTGCCGCTGGCCAGCGCCGACGACGGCGCCCCACCCGTCCAGCCGGCCCGCCCGCCCCGCCCGCCGCCTGGCCCGACCGCCCGCCCGACCCGCCCGCTTTGACGTTCCGCCCGACTCGTCGTCGTCGTCGTCGTCCTCGTCCTCGTCCTCGTCGTCGTCGTCGTCGTCGTCGTCGTCGTCGTCGTCGTCGTCGTCGTCGTCGTCGTGGTCGTTGTCGTGGCCGGGGTCGTGCTCGTGGTCGTGGTCTTGGTCGGGGTCGTGGTCGTCTTCGTGGTCGTCGACGTTCTCGTTTGCCGGCGGCGAGTACGAGGGTGTGTGTGTGTGTGTGTGGATGGTCTCCTGGTCCCAGTTGTGGTCTCTAGATTTTTTTCTGGGGGGGAAGGGTGTCCCACGGTTTTGGAGACCTCCTTTTGGTGACCCCCTTTGGCCGTTTCGATCATTCATGTCTTCGACGAGGCTCCCCGGTGAATGGATACAGTGCCCGCCCTGGGCTATCCATCCCTGTTGCCTCCGCCGACTTGCGGAGGCCTTCGACCTCCAGATGAATAGCCTCAAGCGGGTGGAGCACGAGGACCTCCACGAATTTTGAGCCGTCTCGCACTTCTCCTTCTCCTCCTCCTGATCATCCCAGCGTTTTTGACGTTCTTCCCTCAGCAGCTCTGTGATGGTCCTATGTAAACGCAGCTTCTAAGGCCAGGTGTGAACTCCTCCGGCTCTAGAGCCGGTGGCCCGCGACCCGCGTGGTCTCCCTTACGGTCCATGGTTTCCCGTATTGTCTCCCGCATGGTCTCCCGCAGGGTCTTCCGCACGGTCTCCCGCGTGGTCCCCCGCGTGGTCCCCCGCGTGGTCTTTCCGTGTGGTCTTCCTCACCGTCTCCCGTCGGGTGTCCTCATCGTGCCTCTCATGGTCTCTCGTAGTGTCCCCCTTCTGGTCTCCCGTACGTAGGGTCTCCTTCATGGTCTGCCTTGTGGTCTCCCGCAAAGATCCCCCGCATGGTCTCTCTTTTATGGTCTTGCACCCCCAGAGTACTCTGTATATCGCACTTCACTCTGCACAGCACTCTCTCTATAGGTGCTCTACATCGCCTCTAAAGAGGCGCTTGAGTTTAGGGTCTTCTGCCGACGGGCGCAATTTCGAACCATGGTCTGGTGTTGGTTCCTTGTTTTGGAGCTGCAGCGCTCCGCGTCTCTCACCTTCTCGCGTCCCCCTTCCCTCCTTGTCTTTCCCGTCCGCATGGTTCAACTTCGGGACATCACTCACACGTTTCGTGGCCCCATGGGTAGGTCCACCACGGGCATGACTGGCACAGCGCACAACGCGCGCCCCCGCCCATTTCGGCACCTCTCGCACGTTTGGTGGCCCCTAGGGGGCTCCACCGAGGGTCCAAATGGCGCAGTGCACATGGCGTCCCTCCGCTCATTTCGGCACACTCCTTACACGCCTCGTGGCCCCATAGGGAGCTCTACCGAATACCCAAATGCTAATTTGCACGTGACGCCCTACCCCCCCTTCCCCGCTCATTTCGGTACACATCCCCTCGTATGCTTCGTGACCTCATTGAGAGCTCTACCGAATGCCCACATAGCAAATTCTTTACGCTTCGCGCATCCCCACCAGCCCATCTCACAACAGCAACTCTTGCGAAGCGTGCCGACAGTGGTGTTTTTCAGGCGTGTGTCCGCTTGGCCCCGCATATCTCCCCTGTTCCTCTTTCGTCCCGCCTCCTTGTACATCCTCCTTGTGGGGGCAGCGGGAGAAGGACGACGCGGAAGAGGAGGGAGAGAAAGCGGTGGGAGGCAAGAGGGACTCAGCGGAGAGGACGATCTCAGCGATGATCTGAACAACGACGACGCAGCCGACGACGACGACGATGTCGACCGCAGCGACGACGACCATAACCGCGACGACGACGACGACGACGACGACGTCGACGACGACGACGAAGGCGGCGGTGCGGGCCCTCGTTGTGTGAGTCCTTCGGCCCCGTCGTCCTTGTGTGAGTCTTTCGGGACCCTATTCCTGGTGTGAGTCGCTCGGTGTCCTCGTCGTGGGAGTCGTTCGGGCCCCTCCTCCTGGTGTGAGTCGTTCGGGCTCCTCGTGTTGTGAGTCGTTCGGGCTCCTCGTGGTGTGACTCGTTCGGGCGCGTCGTCCTGGTGTGAGTCGTTCGGGCCCCTCGTCCTGGTGTGAGTCGTTCGGGCTCTTCGTGGTGTGAGTCGTTCGGGCCTCTCGTCCTGGTGTGAGTCGGTGGGGCTTCTCGTGGTGTGAGGCGTTTGGGCACCTCGTCCGCGTGCGAGTCGTTCGGGCCCTTCGTAGTAGGAGTCGTAGTCGTCGTCGAGTCCAGCGATCTCCCCGACCAGCGTCGTCGTTGTTGCCATTCTGGCCTACAGTATTTCAGTGTGGCTGTGAGCTTCGCTCCGCCTACCAGGGATCCACGATCTTCAGGCTATACTAGTATACACGGCTGTCAGGCTCAAGTTGTAGATTTCTTCAAGGCTTATCACAGGGTTTCTATGTGTACAAAAGCTGACAATGGACACTAGAGTCCGTTGGCGATCCTGCCGTCGCACGTTTCAGAAATGTCATGTTGTCTTGGTTGTTTTGTTTTCTGTTGAATCAGTTGCGGTCCTGTCTCAAGTTTTGTCTTCAAGAGAGAATTCCCCGACGACGACGACGACGACGACGACGACGACGACGACCCTGCCTCTCGCTCCGGGCGGTCGTCTTGGCTGCTGGCAGCTGGGCGGCTCTTGGCGGCGTCGGGCCTCCGCTGACTGGTTACAATATGCATGTATGTATATCTTGTATATGTATGGTGTGTCGACGTATATGTATATATTTACGTATGTACATATATATATACATATATTTATATGTATATATATATAACGGACGCAGTTGAGAGTCGATGGGGGTGGGGGCCTGGCCCGCGGCCTAGGGCGGGGCCCGAGACTCTGGGACAGGACCCTGGGCCTCATCATCGTAGGATGCTCATCATTCTCATCATCGCTATGATGGTGGGGGAGGAGGAGGACAACTACCAACTGCGCGTTGGCGCCACCGCCGCACCCCCGCGCCCGGTTGGCGCACCCGCAGTGCGGCTGCGGGAGGGGCTGCGCCTCGATTCCGGCAGAGGCGGCTTGCAGGAATGTTTCAATTTTGGCGTCTTGTATAAGCGCCCGAGCGGCCCACCCTTTTTTGGGGGGCTGGCGGTTCACGGGGGAGGAGGAGACCATCATCATCCCCCCTGCCGCGTTCGCCTTCCCTCGACGACGATGTCGACGACTTCCCACGTTCTGGCTGAAAGGCGGGCCCAATTTCCCTCGTTCGGGCCGCTTGTTTTCTGGGGGGTGTTCTCGGAGTCGTTCGGGCCGTTCGTTCGTATGTGCATGCTTCTGGAGTTTTCTGCGCGTCGTTCGGGCCGCTCGTCCTGGTGTGAGTCGTTCGGGCCCCTCCTCTCCAGCCCATCTCACAGCAGCAACTCTCGCGAAGCATGCCGACAGTTGTGTTTTTCAGGCGTGTGTCCGCAGGGCCCCGCATATCTCCCCTGTTCCTCCTTCCTCCCGCCTCCTTGTACATCCTCCTTGTGGGGGGGGCGGGAGAAGGGCGAGGCGAAGGGGGAGGGGGAGAAAGCGCTCCTCGTGGTTTGAGTCGTTTGGGGTTTCTCGTCCTGGTATGAGTCGTTCGGGCCCTTCTTCCTGGTGTGAGTCGTTCGGGCTCTTCGTTGTGTGAGTCGTTCGGGCTCTTCGTCCTGGTGTGAGTCGTTCGGGCGCTCGTGGTGCGAGTTGTTCGGGCCCGTCGTCCTGGTGTGAATCGTTCGGGCCCCCCCCTCCTAGTGTGACTCGTTTGGGCTCCTCGTGGTGTGAGTCGTTCGGGGCCCGCGTCGTGGTGTGAGTCCTTCGGGCTCTTCGTGGTGTGAGTCGTTCGGGCGCATCGTCTTGGTGTGAGTCCTTCGGGCCCCTTCTTGTGGTGTGAGTCGTTCGGCCTCTTCGTGGTGTGAGTCGTTCGGGCCCCTCGTCCTGATGTGAGTCGTTCGGGCTCTTCGTGGGGCCCCATGGGGGCCTCTTGGAGCGTCGTGTGGCATCTTTTGGAGGCCTCTTGGGGGGAACCTCTTGGGGGCCTCTTGGGGCGTCGTGGGCCTCCTGGGGACCTCTTGGGGGCCTCTTGGGGGCCTCTTGGGGCCTCGTGGGGCCTCTTGGGGACCTCTTGGGGTCCTCTTGGGAGCCTCTTCGGGCCGCTTGGCGGCGTCTGGGGGGCCTCTTGGAGGCCTCTTGGGAGCCTCCGGGGGGCCTCTTGGGGCCATCTTGGGGCCTCTTGCGACCTCCGCAGAAGCGCGAAGGAGAGCTGCCCCCTGAGAAGGACATGGTGAGCCCAAAACCCTAGTAAAATCAATGCGTGGGGTGGAGCAGGAGGAAGAGCAGCAGTGGTACGATGGGTGGTAGCAGCAGTAGTTGTAGTAGACTTCGTAGTAGCAGTACTAGTAGTAGTGGGAGTAGTAATAGTAGGAGTCGTCGTAGTATTCGTAGTAGTCGTTGTAGTACATGACTGAGGGCGGTCGTCGTCGAAACCAGCGATCTTTCCCGACCAGCGTTGTTGTCGTTGCCAGTCTGGCTTCTAGTATTGGAGTGTGGCTGTGAGTTTCGCTCCGCCGACCCGCAACGCATGCGCCGACTGTGTTTTTTGGCACGAGGTGGCTTGTGTGCGCCAATGCCGCACGTAGCCCAGCATCGCTACGAGATCTCCCTTTTTGCATCTCATGTGAGTCATATTCTTCTCCATTCGCCCCGCGTTCGTGTCAGCAGGTCGTCGTGGCGGTTAGCGCTCGGCGACGTGCAGGCACGGCGGTCAGCGCGAGATGTCTCGGAGACGCGCCACTTTCGAGATCTTATCCGCAGGATCCATCGTCATTGCGGCATCAGATCATTGATTCCCCTTCCCACCTTTACACGCATGTATTCAATGCAGACGCACGCATGCATCAAAGGCGGTCCGACACACGTCAATAATGCACAGAAAGACATGCATAGAAGTTCAACGTTGTCCTCTGCCTCTTCCCAAGAGAGTAAGAGTGGTGCGCCAGTTTTCTTGCGGATGTTGAGTAGGCACATGTGGAGGTCTGGGAGTCGTCGTCCCAAGTGTCGTTTGCCGCGCTCGTGTGCAGGTGACGCGTGGAGCGTTACGCAACGTGTGGGCTGAAGTGGTTCGCTTTGCCTTCTGGAAAGACGGGACTGAGTCGATTTAGGTAGAATGCTCTTCGTAGTCGTGCAGGAGTACAGTGTGCTGAGAGATCTTGCAGGTATGCAAGAGCTCGAGACTCTCAACGTGACTGTCGGCGTATCCCGTCGCAGTCCATGTAGTGGATCGAAGCTTATCGTGCCTCCGGGTGTCCAGGGGCCTGGGTGCTAGTTCTATGGTGTGGCAGATGTTCCGATTGTCAGGATATAGTATTATACACGGTTGTCCTTGGTGCAGTTCCAGGTAACTTCCAAGGTTCCCACAGGGTGAGTCGATGGGGTTTCCCGCGGCGTGCGCAGTTCGGGCTACAGGGGCTAGTGGGAGTCGGTCGAGCCTTTCTGTGTG